TTCGTTTTATGAGAATAACAAGGTCTCTCTTATTCTTAGATTGTTGATCATCATCATCATCATCACCATCAGTCGCCAGAGCTCGATGAACAAGTTGCATATCTGTTCGATCATAAAGATGATGAGAGTTATTTTTATCAGTTAGATAAGGCCAAGATTCACTTCGATAAACAATATTAGCAAAATAATAAGGTCGATTGTTGTTGTCATATGGAATAATTCGATCACGTGTAACTATACCACGTTCAACAAGGACATCAAGCAAAGAATCAGCGATGCCACCTTTTGCAACAAGAACTTTAGCTGTTTTCGGTGCAGTAGCTAATAGACGAAGTAGTCGTGGTAGTTGTTCAGGTACAAAATGTCCTGGTGCCTGAAGATAAACTCCAATAGAATCAATGAGTTCAGTATATTGATGTTCAGGATGAACTCGTGGAATATAAAAGATAGGATCATTATAACATGGATTATTTGTCCATGATTGAAAATGAAAAGTAGCATGTTCAGTGAAGATTGTTCCAGGTAGTTGAGAATGACAATAACCTGTATCGATATATGCATTAAATACAGCAATAGTTACAAATCTTGTAGTTGCTGGAAGTCGTTGATCGAGTTGTGATTGTGATTGTTTACATAAGGTCCATTTGTGATCGATATTAAGTGATGAGCATGTATTAGATAAAGAACGTGCACGTGGTAATGGATGAGGAATGAAGTTTGGAAGACGAACAACATTATCCACAATGCATCCTTTATCTGAGTGAATATCAAAATAACTGAGAACATCATTGACAACTGTGGTGGATTGTATTCTACATGCTATTGGTTGTGGCGAATAAACAGTTGACACTCGACAACGTACAAAATCGTCATTTTTCTCCCAAGTCCAATCAAATAAATGAGTGAGATTATATCGTTGAACCCAGTCTGGCATTTGCCATGGTTCAATCAGAATGATTTGTGGATCAGATGGTCGTGGTGGAAAGTGAGGTTTGAAGGCGGATTGATCTTGACAGATCGGTAAACGAAAAATAAATAACCATGTTACCAAGATTATATAACCTAATATGATAGCAGCAAGTGATATGTAAAACTTGTAACGCATTTGTTGATCGATATAATTAATAGTTTATGGCGATGAAGATGTGAGATACGAAGTCACAGATGAATATGATACTACTGAGATGTATCAAAACACCAAGTTAGTAAACGATATGTAGTTTTATTTTGAATATAGTGCTAAAATATAAGTTAAATAAAAAAAACTGTAGTTCATTTACTAATTTAGACGAGTTATATAACAAAAAACACTATTTTTTCATTTTTTCAATATTATCAATTGATTTTTTTTAAAGAATGAAGAAAAGGTATTTGTCCAAGTTACGAGATAAAAAAATATCCGTCAAAAATTGCAAACTTGCTTAAATTATTTATGAGAACAAATCATGTAAAAAAGGTTAGTGATGTATTTGTGAAGTAATTATAACATGTACATTACATGAATTTACATAATTTGCTCGTTTTAATTTAAAAGAATACAAAATGAAAAATGCTTCTTTTTCTCTATATTTTTCTTACTACCATATAATGACACAGTTGTTCTTCTTTTTTTGCGTTCTGGTTACTTTTAATCAACAAAAAGCATCATTTCTTTTCTCTTTCATTTCTTCTATACAGATTGAGAATTACCTGAGCATATTAAAATATATATAAACATTAAAACAGTTAGCCCACCATAACTTAATCTATTTACTTTTTCAGAGTCACAATTATGAGAGATATAATTTATTTAAAATGAACAAAACTGCTTTTGTACTGATGGTAGAGATCATTTAAGGTAATCATTATGTTATTAGTTTAGCTCACCTGATTTGCGCGTGAATTGAAATTTAATATTATAATATCGATATTGTTTATATGGGCGAAATTATAAAATCTATTATGGTTGTCTTTCATACAATAGATTCATCTTTTAAAATGTCTTACTTGAGTATTTTACTTGGATTTCGTTTTTTTTGTACGCACAATATAAAGAAAACAACGAACAGTTCTCTCTTCTTACAAGTGAGCAACAGACTCTCACATGTTTCTAAATTTTAAATTCGCTTTATAAACAAAGAGAGAAAGAAAAGAAAAGAAAAGAAAAGTAAAGAAGTGTAAGAAAAAAAAGTACTGTTGGCAGTTCAAGCAAAGAAGAACAGAACAAAAAAGTGATCGGAAGTGGATGGTGACTCTTAGATTAACCCATGTAAATATTTTTTGTATAAAAACGCGTATCAGCTGCGTTCAAATCGCGTCTGAATTGCAGTAATAGGAACGCGTCTATACGCAGCGTGGATGAAACAATTCTTGCGTGTATACGCGATTAAAGAGAAAATGCGTTCAGATGCGGTTAGAAATAAACCTCGTCCAAACGCATCAATTGTTTCACTGACGACGCAGTTCGAATATAAACTGTGATAATAAATAAAACTGTGTCTAGACGCGTTCAGCTAGATTTTAAAATTGAAAAAGAACATCACAATCCATCTCAGCTTTGATCTGATGTCGCCATGGATATCCGCTAACGATGGTCTTTCCCTCATTATAGGCCAATGGAGTGTTATTGATTTTTTTGATTTACCTAGAATGATATAAACGAGAATAGAACAAGTAAACAAGCAAGCATACATACCGTTCAGTCACATGTGACCACACTCGTTGTCATATGAATGATGAACTCTATGTGAATCGAAAATTCACTTATATATGTAAATGCATGTATTATTTCAATAGTCTTGACATAAATATTTATTTTAAGTATTAATATTTCTATTTTCGTAGACAAAACTAGCTTGAATGAAAAACAACCTAATATACTTCTTTTTTTTTGTATTTCCTTTTTGTCATCTAATGTAAATATCAGAAACAATTTTTCTATATGCTTAAAATTGAAATCCATCACTTAAATTAGATATTTGGGGATTATTTCGACAACCGTTTGATCAAAATCGAAGAATAATGTATATGAAGAGATTAATAATGATTTATTCATAATAATTGATGATAGAAACATTCAATATTGTTTATTGATTCGCTATCTGAAAACAATTGTTATAATTCGATGTTTTTTATCAGATACAGAATAATAAATGTTCGAAATTTCAATACGCACAATACTTTTGTTTATTCCATCAAAATCTGTTTTGATAGATATACCTGTAATCTTATAATGAAAGATATTTTTTAATTTTGTGAAACTTTAGATACTATTGAACATAACTGATAGTTTTATACGAGTAGTTTCGTCTTAAAACTATCAGAAACATATGTATTTCTTTGAATTTTTAATTCTTTTTTTTCTTTCTTCATCTGTATCTGAATAAAGATATTCATATTTGCATGATGCTTTTGACCAAAACTATATTCTAATATAATTAATATAATAAAGAAGTATGTAGGTTACTTCAGAATAACTATGAACCTAGTCTATTTATGTTAGTTGCTAATAAAATAACTTTTACATTCGATACATTCACATACATAAAGCTTTTAAACAAGCTAGTTCGTATCCTCGTAGGAATTTTCGTCTTACGTGTATGTGATACTGAATATTTAAACTAATAATCTCTTTCAGTTCTTACTAAATTCAACTATATAAAAAATCAGACTGTATGCCTTCTGATAATTTTATGAGATGTACGTTTCTTGAAATTGTAGAATAAACTTTTCTTTATATTCAAATTGTTATAAGGATATGATTTAATGCACAATCGTGTTGAAATGCGTTTGAATAAACCTCATTAATCGCGTACAAACGCACTTTAACTAACGATCGCGTTCAACTGCGTTCGAAAATGTATACAATGGCGTCTAGGTGCGCGTCTATTCTGCGTTTCATGTTTACATGGGTATCATAAAATCTACATTTAGAAGAAGCATATTACCATATCTTTTAAGCACAAAATAGTTAGGATAGATCATAGCAACAGCGTTTCTTATATATACAAAAAGCTAAGTATACGATAAATTTCTTGATAAACAACATTTCATTGAATTATAACAGTGTAAACTTACTTTACATACATTGACATGTAATTTTACATTTATTCATCGTACTAATTCAATATCAGTTATGAAAAATGACTTTTTCTTCAGAATAGAAAAGTCATTGCACTAATAAAATAATATTTATTATCAGGAGCAAATAAAAAATCATAGATTTTTGTTTGTTGATTGTTCTATTCGGTATTATTTTTTAATTTTGATATACGGCCTACATACTTGTTTTTAATATGAATAGTCATAGTATTATTTTAGTTGAATTTTATATAAAGATCATTTATTTTTTTAGGTTTAATGAAGCCATGATTCTATAACATCAATAATCAAATATTTTTTTTAAAAAGAAAACTAGTTAAATATGAATTTTTTTTAAACGCATTGGCCTGTTTCGATAAATTTCTTGTTGAATACACCATGTAAAAGACGAAAGATAATTGTATATAAGTGATAATATTTGAAACTGTTAAATTAGAAAAGTAAACTGTCTCGTCAAATAATAAATGAAAAAAATATATAGAAAGTTCTAAGTAAATTGAATTAGTAGTCATTGATTAATATTTCTGTTACTTTTTATATGATGAAGAGAAAAGAATTTTCAATTAAATAGAAAGCAAATGAATTAAGTCTCGATTTTTTTCCAAGACATGATAAATTAATTCTGTTTGAAAAAAAAATAGTAAAATATATTTGTAAGAACTAATTTTTGCAAAAGAAATCTAAATTATCTAAAAATTTTATTTTTCAAATAGAAAATCTTTTGATCATTTTCAGTTTACATTCAATTTCT